GCGGAGCGCGGCGCGGCGCGGGGGGCGCCCGCCGCACACGCGGCCCCTCGCGGCCCCCGGGGGTTCCTCTCAGCCTGGCAGGAGCCACCTGCACCCRGTGTAAATACGATGAAATAACAGTGCCCCAGCCTGAGGGCACTCCGGAAGGATGAGGAACCTTTAATGCTCTGGGAAAAGAATCGCCTCTTAATRGCACTAGATTTTGTTTGTGAGGGAATCACAGATTTGAGGCACGTTCTGATTAAACAGAGGAACTYGGAGTTATTTCAATGATCTCTGCACTCAGAGGGTTATCTTGGTTTGTTCTGTTTTGGCCATATACATCCCGTTCCAGCGGTAAATCATCAACCCAAATCTCAAAGTTCCACACATGGTACCCACTCGCATTGTGTTGGGAAGGCTGCACTGCACCGTTCTCCGTCTCCTGGGTTTCACRCGTACTGTCTGCGTTGCATGCATGGATATACGTGTGTGATTTATTAAATTGTCAGAGGATATTACTGTAGTAATATCCTTATACCTCAGATTACCCTGAAGTATTCCAGTTTGGGGACTTCCTGCACAACAGAGTTTTTAACAAAGGAAATGGGGAACTACTCACGTTTTAGCGCATAGAAACCATCGCTGCTTTTGCAGTGAAGCCTCTCAGTAGTTCGCACTGAACCGCACGTAGGTTCACGCTGTGGAGGGCCTCGAGATGCAAACCCGATTCCTTTCTCACACAGGGAGACGGAACCTGCCACCAGAAGCGTCCCGAGGACACAGCGGCTGCTCCAGATACAGGATTTGCAGCACAGTAGTGGGTGCCACTGAACACTCGCGCCTCAGGGTGCCACTCAACACTGCCACTCAGCCACTCCACAGCAGCTTTGCACTGCCCTTCTGTTCCTACCTCTTTGCACCCATGTAGGCATGGCCACAATTTGTCAAATGATTTCTGCATTTGCTCTGGTTTGGGCTGAAGGCAGCAAGAGATGTCGAGATACCCTATGTCAGGCACCGGYGCCTCAATTCCTTTTCTGAGCACGTATGGTTTCCATCTGCCAACCCCCAGAATTCATTATGTGTTTGTTTGCTCTGCTAAATAAGTCTTCGTTATCAGGACTTCTCTCCACATCTGGGTTCCCAAAGGCCACAAATCACAGCTTTAGCCCCTCCCCAGAGACCCTTGAGCGGAATGACTTTCTCTTGTCTCCTGCCAGAAAGAGGGTTTCTAAGGAGCGCACATGACTCACTCAGATGCACCTTTAGAGAGTCCTGCCATCAATGTGAAAGCACAAACCTCTCAGCTGGGTAACATTTGAATATGCATCTCACCAACGCCAGGTATCCCTGTACTATTCCTACACTGCATTTTCCCAACTATACACCCAGCGATCACATTGTTCTGTGAAACTGGCTTTACCCAGAAGAGACAGGGGACCTAGGCTCAACCAGGTTACTTAGAAAAACGTACAGGAGACAGGGAAGGAGGCCGAATAGAGGGGAAGGATCATGTCCTGCAACTCAACCTGCCAGCAACACTCTCTTTAACACTGCCCAAGACACTGTCACCCTTCTTTGGCCCTAGGGCACGTTGCTAGCTCATGGCCAACTTGTCCACCAGCACACCCAGCTCCTCCTCTTCAGAGCTGCTTTCTAGCAGATTGGCCCACAGCACATACCGGTGCCTGGGCTTATTCGTCCCCAGCCGCAGGACTCGGCACTTCCCTCTGTTGAACTTCATGAGGTTCCTGTCTGCCYATTTCTCCAGCCTGTGGAGGTCCCTCTGAATGGCAGCGCAGCCATCAGGTCTATCAGCCTCTATCAGTCAAGATGAGCAACATCCACTGYGATCCCCTCAGTGACCAAGCTGCTCAGCTCATAACAGAAGGCTACCAGGTTGGTCAGACATGACTTCCCCTTCCCATRCTCCCTGCCCCATGCAGCAGGGAGCCCACATTCTCCCTTATCTTCCTTGGCTGCATATAACTTTTTCATGTTGCCCTTCATGTCCCCTGACAGATCCAACACCAGATGCTGGCTTCATGAACTCCATCCCCGCACGTCCRGAGAGTGCCTCTATATTTTGCTTTGATCACTTGTCGCTACTTCTACCTCTTCTGCACTTGCTTTTTTATGCTTGAGCTTTGTCAGGAGCTCCTTGTTCATCCACACAGGCCTCTTGATGCCCTTCTTGAGCTTGGAGGAGGTGATCCTTGAAAGGGAGGCTAGTCTTCTGAGACCTTCTTTTCAATAGGGCCATTATGGTAACAGGAAGATTATTCTGTTAATAGGAAGTATCCAAAAGAGGCTATTTCTRCTTCAGGACTGGGTGCGTACTTCAGTGTTTTCAATACAAGCATTTGCTCTGCCCAGTAACATTGCTATCGAATTATCATCATGTAGATTAGCTATCATTGCTGAAGGAAATTAAGCACCTGCCAGACTATCGCTCAGCTTTATTCTTCTCACTTTGATTTACGAGGCACGTACATCACCATACTGAATTAAGTCTCTCCTCTCCGAGAGCCATCCCKAGGGTATCATTTTTTATACCAAACAAACTGTCTAGCCTTCTGCTGCACTGTAACTACATCTGCTTACACTTGCTTGGAAGCTCAAGGGAAGAGAAAAACAAAGAAATGTTTTGTAGAGAAGCACTTCTAAAATGTCTMGTATACACTGCAATCAAAAAATATGAGCTACTGGATCCCCAGGGTAGACATAGTTACTTATGTCTTTTTCAATCCACTCTTCAGCAGAAAACTGAATGGAATATTTTCCATTGTGCATTTGTAAGAGGTTTTTAACTCTTAAGAAAGGAATAAATCCTGACAGGATGCAGGCCAGGGCTCATCCAGGAGACAGGGCTAGACACAAGCTGCCTACAACGCAGCTCAGGATCCACCCAGGCAAACTGGGCAGGATGGTGGGACAACAAGGAACAGGGTTGGGTGCAGTGGCACCGTGACATCCCTGGTGAGCTCTGGGTGCTCAGGCCTGGCCCTGGATGGAGCACCCAGGTCCCTGGGCAGAGGGTGCCCGAAAAGGAGTCCCCAGGGTAGAGTCAAGGCCATTAAAGTTTTTTGGTGGCCACTCAGCCTTGACACCACCACCAATGGACCTCCATCCTCACAGAGATCTATGACATGTTTCTGGGGAAATGCAAGCCCTTTGGGGAAAAAAAACAGGGAAATGGGAACTACTTTCTTTTTCTGAGATTACAGGACAGCTAGATTTGGAAATAAACRAACACTACTGTGTGAAGAGCCTAGAATAAAACACAATAGGTTTGCAACAAATTAACTGGTTTGTTTGGTAAAACTTTTTTTTTAATGCTTTTGTTTTAGTTCTATTTTACTCTGTAAGTATCTTTTTGTCTCGAAAAGGAACATACTATATCATGCTCAAAAGCAGACTTCTCAGTGGCAAGAGACACAAATTTATTTAGCCGGTACCCAGACTGATGTCACAAATGAGGATAACAAAGGATAACAAAGAAGGAACCCGAACTTTGCTTTGGTCACATTCATTATAATAGTTCTTCAACTTGGAAAGAGATAAGAAAGGAAGTCATAAATTTAACGTGCTGTGTGAAACACAGATCTTCTGAATAGGGAGATATCTAAACAGGAAGGCCAAATTCGTTGGAAATCCCCTGTACATCAAACAGAAAARAAACGAACCTTTAGCAAAAATTCTACTGCAAAGCTGGAGAGATGATCTATATTCTTATATGCATGTGCTTACATATGTGTGCATACATATGTGAGAATTTTAGGGAGGACTTTAAAAAATGGAAATGAGAAAGCCGGCTTAAAAATAGCAGACGTATCTGTATAACATATTCCTACTATGTTGGGTTTGGAGGTTGTTTTTTTCTTTCTTGTTTTGTTGTATGAACCGGCAAAGCCTCCTTTTAGTTTACACTCAGAACAGAAGAATTGCCATTTCTACAGTGCTACAGTGTCAGTTTGAATTCCAGACAACACTGAGATAAAGGAATCTCCTTAAAACAGTATTTAGTCCAAGCAGGAAGAAGACAACCTGCCTATGACTGATTCAGCTCACTTATGTCAGGCTGGCAGAATATTATTTTCTCAAGTAACAAGGTACTTTTATAATGACATAAGACTGGGAAAGCCAGCAGCAAGAAAACAACCTGGTTAAACTGTACTAACTAAAGCCAGTCCATTTGCCAGAAGTCCTGTTTACTACTCTGCACTTCGTAAACACGGTGCATATTCCCCCGCTTCCTTCACTATGCTGTAGATAAAGAAACTTGAATATTCAGCTGCGTGAAACAGGTRGATCATTGGGGAAGTTTACTACTAGCTTCATATGAACAATCGGCACCAAGCCTGAGAGAGTCATTTATACAAACCCACAAACCTAACGATATTTTGCTGGTTTTGTCCAGGTAGTAGAGACRAGTCAAGCACTCTCATCTGTTGCCTTTTCCCAGTCACTGCTCCTCAGAGCACTTCTGTCCGCAGGAAAGTCAGCCCGTGGCATGACACAGAGAAGATAAAGGGTTGCATTCTTTCCTGCCAGAAGCTGCCTGAGAACAGGCACCGCAGAGCACACCTGCAGTGTGGAACTGCCAGCTACCTCAAGGAAATGGGCAAAGTGATAATGTTCAGCGTGCTTAGCTGGACATTCAGTAAAATATTAGACAGACATAATAAGCGCAAGGAGATTCAGAAGTTAAATATTTATTATGTTTAAACTCCAACTGAGTAATGAAGTATCTGTGGCAAGAAATAAAATACTTTATCTTCTGCTGAATGCCTTGTTTACGAAAGGAGTAAAATGTTTTATTTGGTACAGCTTACAGCTCACCAGAATATGTCCAAAACAAAAACTAACAGCAGTGCCCAAAATAGTGCAAGGCTACAGTATATTGGGAGCATTTACTAGAAATGACCTCCAAGAGCACAGCATGTTTTCACATTCTTCACATATCCAAACTCTACTCAAAACTGAGTATTGTGGCACAAGCTCAAGTTCARGCCCAGGAGCCTCATGTTATTGTGGGAAATACCTGCTTTTGAGGGATTTCTAARGCTAACTGTTCTCCCTTCCCCTAACCTGCCAGCAAGACAGTGCATTCCCCCAACTTATTATATATGAGTGCCTGACGTGAAAAGAGGTTTCAGCAAACCATTCTTAGAAAATTCCATTTTTAGAAAACATCCATGCATACYTGAGCACATGTATACATCCTGACACTACCATTTACCATCTCATGTATGTTACTTGCAATTAAATGATGCTTGCAAGCAAGACTGAGGTTTTGGAAGCAGGGCCTTGTATCTCATCTATATACACCCAGATGCCAAATGAGAAGCCTGCAATCGTCTGTATGGGATGGTGGGACAGCAGGCCTTGCAGATTAGCAGCTGCATTGCATCCCCACAGGGACAGGACTCACGAGAGCCACCAGTGCAAGCTACCAAACATGGAATTTTCTCATTTTGCCCCATTTGCTACAAGAATATCCTTGGATACCAGTCTCACCAAGCATTCCCACACCACTGTGGAAAGACAAGTTGCCCTGGCCCTGCACTTGAGCACTGTGGGAAGGGAAGATTAAGCCCAACACACTCATGCTGCCAGCTGCAATAGCTCAGGGTTTAGGTTATACTCCTTCCTGCTGGACAAGCGAAGGAAGGGAACYGAAAATACGAGTTTGTGTTTAGAAAGAGTGAGAGTTAGAGCCAACACACAGGTTAACGCCGAGGAAAGATAAGCCTTGAGAATGCTTTTAACAAAAGGCTTGCGAATGCAGATAAGATCAGCAGAGCCAACAGATGTACCTTGTGGACTGTTTTCGTGGGGTGCAAGCAAGCTTTCTTTTGTTTGTTTTTTTTTTTTGCTTGGAATAAAAGCCAATATCCAGGGATTAAAAGAACATCTTGTTTCTTGCCCTTCATCATGAAGTACCTGTATGGATTGCCTCGTGAAGTGGGTGGAAACAAATCCACCCTCCTCACTCTGTTGGTGCGATTCACCGAGCTCCTCTGCACTGCAAAAGAAACCGGGCTGGCTTTAGACTAACAAACCTCCCTATTCAGAATTCCCTGCACAGGGAATAGACATGAAAAGTAGGCTAAATACACCCTTCTTACCTTGGTAAAATATTATTGATAAGCAGAAAATAAGCATCTTTCAGTTTGGCTATGTCATAAACCACCACCAATCAAATTAACATGTTGAACACATGTCCCGTTGGCTACCTAAGGAAACAACTAATTACTGGCAGTGCCGTTGCCAGCAAGCACCGGATACCATGGAGTTTGGCATGGCGCATGGACCCAAGCAGGATTTAGAGAGGGGACACAGAGCAGTTTTTCTGAAATAAAGTTTCCACGTTGCCCCTTCCACACAGCACGGGTGACCAAGCCGCGCACCTCTGACCTKCAGCCTCCCCGGCCCTCACCACTGTCCTACTTAAGATTTGCTTCCTTCTCCTGCAGAGCCCAACTCCCACCTTGGAGAGCTCATTTCAGCACTGCTCCAGCTCTTACTTGGTTGTTTTACTTATTCTTTTATTTCTTAGCAATCATTTGTTTCACGTCTGTTTCYGTTTTCTTCACAGTGATCGTTTATTCCTCAATTAGTTTGCATAGCATCACCTCAAAATGCTAACTACATTTTCTCTATACTAATAAACTTTTTTCCATTTTATGGTACTTAAACTTTTGTGATAATAAAGTCTTGCTTTATTATAAGAATGAGCAAGCACAACGGCTCTTGCCTCTATCAAACTTCATGATGTCAATTAAGAAGCAGAAGTGGGACTCACCAATAAACTCCATAAGCTCTAGATGCTACTACACAACCCTGAAAAATCATTGTTCTTAATGGCTAAAACTTGTTCACAGAGTTGTGAAGTGCCTCCGAAAACAGACAGCCAGAACCTGGGTCACTCTTTGGATATATTTTCTACCAGGCCAATGCAGCATATATATAAATTTCCCCAGTGGAAGGGGAAAAAGAAAGGGGATAAGAAAGTAAGAGACCAAAAGAGTAGGTGAAGGAAGCAAAGACCAAGCACAGACTGAAACTGGAGGCTTCAAGTGAAAGCCCTGAACACTGAAATACCTGGACACAGTAACCCCTGAGGTGGTGTTTGGAAAGCCAGCAGCCAAGTGCTCCTACGAGAGATGACACCGCATAAGAATGTGTCAGTCGCACACATTTGTGGTGCTCCAAAACCGACTGCCCTGCCAGGCCCTTCGGTGCCTTTGGGGCCCTGCTTGCCTCTCCGTTGGGCGCTCGGCACTGGCGCTCGCTTGCTGCGCACACGGCTTCGCTGTGCAAAGGGCAGGCGGCGGCAGCGCTCGCCTCAAGGTCATGCAGGAATGGGGTCCATTTGCCTGGTCACGTAGGTGACAAGAACACCACGCTGCATTCCCGTTCCCACCTCGCCTGTGGGACTGCAGTCACTGATTCAGGTACTGACTGCAGCTTCCATTACAAGAGCATTTGCTGCCCACACATGTGGGGTAGACACTTTACTTTCATTTGCCCAAAAGTGACTGTGGAGAATAAGGACCAAGGAGATTAGCATGGAGAGCTGGAAAAAATACCAAGACTAAAATAGACTTGCAGATGAAATTACGTGGAGTTGAAATACATCATTTGGCACAAAACACTGATTTTGCTGAGGAACAGAGCAAAAAAAAAAAAAATCAGTTTGACTTGACTGAGTTATGGCAAACTGAAAGTTRTCTAAAAAGCACAGAGCACTAAGTTTTTGCTTACTTTATTTGTGTTTGGGTCATTAACTGCCCGCCTATAGGTTTCCTYGGTGAGATTTGGCTCGGTGGAGCCAAAAGGTGTTTTAGCTTTTAGAAACAGAATTTCATTCTGTTTCATTTAGCAYACCCACTTCCCCCCCACACCCCTTCCCTTAGAGTTGAGAAGTGGCCTTCTACAAGCCTTTTATCTACTCCACTTAATGCAGGAAAACAAAATTTTAAAAAATCTCATCAAAACCCAGGCTATCAACCCTGAAGCAGTCACAGATTACGCTGAGTTGTCGGAGATCTTGCTTTCATGAGGCTGAAAGGATCTCTACCGCATTCCCAAGAAGCGGCAGAGGACACGGCTTTACCCCATGCAGAAAGTCCTTCCTGTCACAACAGTCCAGCCCAGCCTTGCACACAAAGCAACAAAGATTTGACAGCACCCAGCAACACTATACAGCCATTTGGAACATGAAGTCAGAACTAAATCTTCTTGAACTTCAGGAAAATTTACAAATGTTCCCTGAAAATTGTGCTCACCTACTATAGCGTGGGATCTCCAGCCACACAGATCTTTCTGATGTGTTAATTTTACAAGAACTATGAAAATGGAAACAACGAGCAAGCATTTACACCAATGCTCTTCCATTCTATGCTCTACCATCATAGTAACTAGTAAGTCAGGACAAATTTTTAGCCTTCTTTCGGTGTGATAAGACATGCACATGAACATGGATGTTAGCCCATAGCCTCATCCACCTTYTACTAGAAGTGATGGAACTCTTTCCACTAACTTCAAGAGAACTTGGATTAGGATATAAATAGCTTACAAGGGTGTAGGGTGCTACCTAGGTCTGTTGCTACTTAGAGAGGCTTTACTTGCTACTTATTACAGTAAAATGGC